ATGTGAGATTTAGCTACAAGTGACCATCCTACTTTGCTTGGTCACAACTGGGCTACACATGTGCTGGCTTCCCATCTGGTTTGTATGCCTTTTCACTCACATTCATTCTAGTTTGAATGATACATTCATTATACGGTGACCTTAGATTTCACACAAGTGAAAACTAACAAACTGTAGTTTTGAATTATGAATTACTTTTAATATTTGCATTTGCTCCATATTCTTATCCTATGCATAATAATCAGACAAAGGGGAAATATGTTTAAAATACAAGGTCCAAGTGCCATTTCTTTTCTGTGTACACTAACATTTAGTATGGAAATAACCCCCATCATCATCTTTATTTCCTAAGTTTTAGGAACTCTTTTTCAGCTTCCCTATTTTATAGATGGGGAACTGAGGTTCATCAAGTTAAGTGACTCTTTCTACATACCTTGTAAATCAGTGACAGAGAACTCAGTCTGATACTTTGATTCCCACTATTCTCTCTACTATATAAAGCAGTAAAAAGTGTATTGTGGCAAAGAGATGCAATTTTTCCAAAGTGTTTTATGTAAATTTATTCCTTTGGTTTTATTCAAGGAACAGGATTCCTGTAGATCACGTACCCTTCATACTTTTAAGGTGCTAAAAAGTCTTGAGGTAAAGAGCCCTATCTGACTTTGTTTAACACTGCTTTTTTCAGAGTTTGGGAAAACTCTTTGGAAAATACTAACCTAGGATTTTGTTTTGTTTTGTTTTTGATGTTGTTGTTTGTCTTGGAGGATGGGGAGGAAAGAAGGAGTTAGGGTGTACAAATGTGTACATGTTTCAATTTCTCATAGGATTTTTATTCTTGCTGTTGCATTCAACGTGATTTTTTCTGTTGGGTTTGCTGCAATTGCTGAAGCATGTCACATTATCTGATTGGGATCGGTCATGCATAGGATTAATAAAGGGAGCTCCCTAGGATGGTGGTTCTGGAAAAAGGATATATCAGCTTCTGGGGCCATTTGCATCCTTTGAGCCACTCTTGTCCTGTAAGCCCTCCCTTTCCTTTCCTTTAATTTATTTTACTTTGCTTTGTTTTGCTTTCCTTTTCCTTTCCTGTTACATCATTCAAAGATTAGGTTTCATTCTGTTGTCTGTAGGAAACAAACCAGACTTGCCTGGAAAGCAAACATCTCCTAGAGAGATGAAAATGTTATTAATTCTCATTTCTATCATCTAAATGCGTCAGATTAGATTAAAAAATAAATACATTCTGCTCCATTTGCAATAGATATTTGGTTACCTGAGAAGCAGTGAAATTATTCCCTGGGGATTTTGAGAAGAAACATGGATTTGGAACTGGAACTGCTCAGTCAGTCAGGGTTACCCCCAGGATTTGGAACTGGAGGATACAAGGTGGATTTAAGGGTTATAGCTGACAAATCCACCCCCATTTCTATATCTTTGTAAAGCCTGTGTTTATTTTAGTATTCATGCTTCCATAGGGGATGTGAATGTCACCCAAATCAGTTTATCCTAAAGTGTAGGAGGAGCTACTACCACAAAAAGAGCTACCACAAATTTGTCCCTAAATTTTCCAAAGACCCTTTCATTTCAATCCACCTCTCCAGGTGAAACCCCCAGCTCTTCCCATACTACTTATCAGAATGGTGAATAGCCAAGCATCCTTAGCTGAGCTTCTCCTCTCCTAAAATGCTTGTTATGTGCTTTTGTTTCTCCGTTGCTAGGCTGGCTTTGAACCTGTGATTCTTCTGCCTCAGCTTCCCGAGCTGCTGAGATTATGGATGTGCACCATTGTACCTGGCCAAAAAGCCATTTTTAAAATATATATATTTTTCAGTTGTAGTTGGACAACAATACCTTTATTTTATTTATTTTTATGTGGTGCTGAGAATTGACCCAGTGCCTCACATGTGCTAGGCCAGCGCTCTATCACTGAGCCCCAACCCCAGCCCCCCCCCCCATTTTTTTTTTAATGGTGCTGAGGATTGAACCCAGGGCCTTGTGCATGCAAGGCAATCACTCTACCAACTGAGCTATATCCCCAGCCCTCCAAAAAGCCATTTTTGATGTGGTTTAAATCCCAGACAGACCAATGTAGTAGTGTCTTGACTCCTTACAAATTATTCAGAATTTTCAGTTGAAAATAATTCTCATGTGTGTGCATGCACATATTTGTGGAACTAAGAGTAATCAAGTCTGTTCACTTCCCTGGACCCTCCTTATATTTCTTCATCTGGAAGCAGCGCTCATTCTTCCTGAGTTTTAGCAAACTTTGTGCCATTGGCAGGCTTTGTGTTCTTAATGAATTTGCTGTATAGTCAATAGAAATTAAGAAAGTAAAACTAACAAAAATGAAGCAGTAGAGAACTCCAAGAATGCATACAGGAAGTAAAAAGCAGCCTACCACAAGAGTGACATCATGAATTTGTTTATTCAGAAACTTCTTTGACCCACAATTTTCATATCTACTAAATTCAAATTTTATTTTTTAGCTATTTTTTTCTCCTTCATTTTGGTAAAGGCTTTTTATTTTGCATAATGTTTTTATTCTGGATTTTTCTTAACATATTTGATACATTTTGAAAAAGTTTTGTCTGTGCTATTTTTGCTTTAAATGTAAATTTTTAATGAGTAAGATTAGGATCTGACCTGTATACAAAGCACATTTGGTTTCTAGGACCCTATTTTATTTGAAAGAGTGCCTAAAAATACCTGATAATTTTTTTTTCCTGGTATTATAGATTGAACCTAGGGGTACTTAACCACTGAGCCACATTCCCAGTCCTTTTTTATATTTTATTTTGAGACAGTGTCTCTCTTAGTTACTTAGGGCATCGCTAAATTGCTGAGACTGGCTTTGAATTTGTGATCCTCCTGCCTCAGCCTCCTGAGCTTCTGGATTACAGGCACATGCCACAGTGCCCAGCTTGAATCACCTGAGTTTTCTTTGGGGCTCAACTTGAACACTAGGATTTATCAGAGTTAGAGTTTAAGTTTGAACTGAAATTGATAGTCTCAGTTTCTATTTTGCAACATTCAAAATGAATTACCCAGGGGGAAAAAAAGACATCAACTTTTTCTACATTTCTGTTATTCAGGGATGGAAAGCTGTGACACTCATCACCAGACTTTTTAAAAATTATCTATTTTTAAACAGACTTTGCTGGAAGAATTAATTTATATATGTAGTGCTGGGGATCAAACCCAGAACCTCACAAATGCAAGCACCTTACCACAGAGCTACATCCTCAATCCTATGGGGTGTTTCTTGTTTGTCTTATACCACTTAATATATAAAATAGTATAATAAATTCTTTCGCTTTCTTGCTGTATAGTTCTTTTGAAATGCACTGTAATGTCTCATCCCATAGCCATTCATATTTCCCATAATATACACTGAAGCAAAATGTAGGGGGGATTGTATTCCCATAGATAGGCAGGTAAGTTTCAATAGGAAATTTATTCATAAATGATTTAGTGGAGTTAATTACCATACTGCTACTTTACATTATCTACATCTAGTTACTCGGAAGTTTCCTGGTCTTATCCTGAATACTATAAGTAGAGGTCTACATGCTTAGGTAAATAAATTTATGCATACACAAGTGTTCATACACACACACACACACATACATATCTGTGTGTGTGTGTATAATAAGAGAATACAAATGTTAATAATGATTTTTTTAAATGTGAATTTCCCCTACCCCCATACTGGGATTTAACCTCAGGGGCACTATACCATTGAGTGGTACCCCCAGCCCTTTAAAAAAATGTTTGTTGATTTTTGAGACAGTATCTCCCTAAGTCGCAGAAGCTGGCCTCAAACTTAAAATCCTCCTGCTTTGGCCTCCCAAGTTGCTGGGATTACAGTCATACACCATCTTACCCAGCTTAAATGTGTATTCTTTAGGTTATGCTATATCAATAATGAGGATCACAATACGTTTCAAGAATCTGGACACCATTCTATTTTCCAGTGATTATTTGTATTTATTTGTTAACAACTTGTTAAAATACTTTGTTTTCATTTTGAGTCTCGATTAGCTGCCTGCTTGCTGATTTATTTTCCTAACAGTTTCAATAATAGATTTTAAGTTATTTTTATTCTTCTTAAAACATTATCCCCTTTGAGTCAGATAAATTTTATATAGCCAGATGGTATAAAGGTTTAGGTGTGTTCTTGTTAACCCTGTGTCCTCTCTTAAAGAGTTTCTTCTCTTTCAGCATGTATCCCCTGCTAGCAGCTCTGAGAGTTGAGATTCCGTGATTCAGGATTCAATCTGTAATTGCCCAAATTATCTCTTATTGCTTAGATGCCCTATCCATGCTAATCACAATATCAGATAATAGTAGTATTTTTATTTTCAGGCTTTATGAGGAGTATAGGTTAAATTTTTTTTTTCTTATATGTCACTCCATTTATAATAGCTTCTCTCAAAATTAAACTCTACTTAGCCTAAACATATTTAGCTTTGTCCACCTTTACTTCCCCCTCTTTTAGTAAAATGCTCAATTACACAGATGAAAGATCAATTTAAGCAATTTTATCTTAAAGTAGAAAAACAACAAACCAATCTTTTAATTATCCATCTTTGTATGTCTAGTACTGGTATTGACCTGTTAAGTGTTTGTGAATTTCCTAGAATGTTAGATTATGATTACTGGTGATTGCCTCTAAGCATTTTTATAAAAATTAAAAAATACTTTTCCCTGCATTTTCAAATACTCTTCTTATAACTGTAATTTAAATTAGTCTGATATGTTTCTTGTTTGCTCTCTTAGAAAGTACCTAATTGATACATTTTATGGCTCAAAATTGTAGCTAGCACAGTCATAATTCAAGGTTAATGGTTCCTTTACATTTTCTGAAAATTTTATGTGTGAACTTGACAGCATATCATTATTTGCAATAAAAGCAGTTTTCAGTAAACTTGCCTTGTTTCTGTGTGACTTTAGATACATTTGAAAAAAAATAAATAAAATTATTTTTGTTTCATATCAAGAAATGGATGAAAAGAGGCTGCTGGATCCAGGGTTGAAAGTGCATAAAGGCCATTGGGATTATACTCTGAAGAACCGGCAGATGGAATGCCTGAGTGACTGAAGAAAATGGGTGCTAATGCATCTAACTATCCTCACTCATGCTCCCCGAGGGTAGGGGGAAACTCACAGGCCCAGCAGACTTTTATAGGTAAATTTTAGTTTTTCTAACTATATTTTCTATATTCAACTATAAGTAGAATTGTGTTTTCAGTGGTCTTTGTGGATAAAAAGAGAATTGAGGTATGGGAAAGTTATTGTAGATCATAATTCTACAGCATTTAGATTCCCCCAAACATATTAATCTGATTTGTGTGAGTTTTATTATAAATAATCTGCTTATAGCGCAACTGACCTTTTCTTTGGTTATCTTAACCAAAATTGCCAATTACTTACCTAGACAAACTAGTAATCTCCATTTGTGTGTCCTGGTCTATTTACTTTCCCTATTCAAGTGCAGCCTTAGTGTAGTTAAGAAAAAGAAGTATTTCACAATTATATACAAGTGATATTCTTAATTTACAGTTCTACCTATGTTTCATTTCCTAAAAATTCATTATTAAGATCCATGATATCAGCCTTTGATTGCCAGAGAAGCAAAGGCATTTTTAAAAAATTTGGACTGATTCATTCTATTTGTCTTTATTTCTTTTTAATATAAAAATTATTATAATTTTAATATAAAAATTGTTTGAAATTTTTATGTTCCCTTATAAAAATAAAAGATTTATTTGAGTGGTCCAGAAGTGTCTATAACATTTTTGAGCATTCAAACAGGTTATGTGAAAATGAATGTTAAAATAAAAAGAAACAAATTATCATGTATTTAATTTTCTTCTTAGGGACATCATCCTATTCTCAACAAGGCTATGGTTGTGAATCAAAATTGTATAGCCTTGAACATGGCCATGAGAAACCACAAGACAAAAAAAAGAGAACCTCTGGCCTTGCCACCCTCAAAAAGAAGTTTATTAAGCGTCGAAAATCTAATAGGTCTGCTGATCACGCCAAGCAGATGCGAGAACTCCTCTCTGGATGGGATGTTAGAGATGTCAATGCATTAGTGGAGGAATATGAGGGAACTTCAGCCTTAAAGGAGCTTTCTCTACAAGCCAGTTTGGCTAGACCAGAAGCCCGGACATTGCAGAAAGATATGGCTGATCTTTATGAGTACAAGTATTGTACTGATGTAGACTTAATATTTCAAGAAACTTGTTTTCCTGTTCATCGTGCCATTTTGGCAGCAAGGTGTCCATTTTTTAAAACACTGCTTTCTTCCTCACCTGAGTATGGGGCAGAGATAATAATGGACATCAATACAGCTGGTATTGATATGCCCATGTTTTCTGCTTTGTTACACTACCTTTATACGGGTGAGTTTGGAATGGAGGACTCGAGGTTTCAAAATGTCGATATCCTTGTTCAGCTTAGTGAAGAATTTGGAACACCGAATTCCCTTGATGTAGATATGCGTGGACTTTTTGATTACATGTGTTATTATGATGTTGTCCTTAGTTTTTCTTCAGACTCTGAGTTGGTTGAAGCTTTTGGAGGAAATCAGAACTGCTTGGATGAAGAGCTCAAAGCCCACAAGGCTATTATTTCTGCACGGTCCCCATTTTTCCGAAATTTATTACAAAGGAGGATACGGACTGGAGAAGAAATCACAGACCGAACTTTGAGGACTCCCACAAGAATTATATTAGACGAGTCCATTATACCAAAAAAATATGCTAAAGTAATACTACACTGTATGTACACTGATGTGGTTGACCTCTCCGTTTTGCACTGTAGCCCCTCTGTGGGGAGTCTAAGTGAAGTTCAGGCTCTCGTTGCAGGGAAGCCAAACATGACCAGGGCAGAAGAAGCCATGGAACTTTACCACATAGCACTATTCTTGGAATTTAACATGCTTGCACAAGGTATGAAATCCTGATTTTTAATTTTTATTTCTAAAATTACTTCCAAATTGTACATACAACCAATTTCTTTCTATGGTTTCAATGTTTGGTATGTTCAGGGTCAGTTTTGAGCCTACAATTATGACATCTGTGACAGATAAAGGGTCAGTATTAATGTGGTTCTTTATTTAATATTAAAATCAGGCATTCAGTAATAGTGACTAAGAGCATTAGATGCGATTTGAGGCTCTTTCTTTCCTAATGTAATATTTAGGAATATGTAATTTAGATTTAGGAATATGTAATTACCCACCTGTACTCTGTCTGGTATTTATATTTTTTTTGCTTTCTTGATCCTTAAATATTTGGAATTAGAGTAAGTTCATTACAAAATGAAAACAACAACATTTGGATATAAATTTATTTGAATCAATTGGGGTTTCTATTTTAAATTTTCAAATATTTAGTATCTTATTTTTAGGCTTAATTTGTATATAAAACAACAGCCTATAACACAGAACTGAACTCATTTGCCTTTTTCAGTTACTTTTAAACTAAAAAATTTAAATTAGGAGAGTACTTTTTTATGTTATAAGCGAATGGAAACATGAAAGTTAAATTAAATTAAAAGAAATATACTGGAGCTGGGGGTGTAGCTTGGTGATAGAGCATGTGCTTTAGCATGCTGAGTACTTTATGTATGATCCATAGCACCAAAAGGAAAAAGTAAGGGGGCTGCGGTTGTGGCTCAGCAGTAGAACGCTCACCTAGCACGTGGGAGGCCCTGGGTTCGATCCTCAGCACCACATTAAAATAAAGGTATTGTGTCCAACTACAACTAAAAAATAAATATTTAAAAAGAAGGAAATGAACAAAGTATGTATCTGTTGGTAAATGTTAGAATCCTAACATTTCAGAGATGGAAAGAGATCTTCAGTGCTGGGTACAGTGGTGCACACCTGTATTCCAGCATTGCAGGAGGCTCGGGCAGGATTGCAGATTTGAGGACAGCCTGGGCAACTTGACCAGTGAAACTCTGTATCAAAGTTTTAATAAAGGCCTGGGGATGTAGCTCATTGGTAGAGTACCAGAGTTTTAATCCCCTGTACTGCAGGTTGGGGGTGGAGAGGCTTTTTATAGGAGAGCAAAAGGAGTTTACTAACTTATGCAAAGACTCTTAGCATGTTCAAGACCCCTAGGTTTCATTCCCAACACCCCAAAAAAGGGAAAGAAGGGAATACATATGAATCAATTAATAGGGCTTTGAGAAATTAAAAAATAAAAGTCCCAGTTAAATAACAAGGCCAGTCATAAGATGGGAAGAATAGTACAGAAGGCACCAATAAAAATAAATTCAAAAATGCTATGGTTTCTTTTATGTAAACAATCTTTTTAGATATTTTATTTCACCATTATCTTTTTAGTAATAGTTTTTTTTTTTTGCCACAATGAAAATGTCATTAAAATACATTTTTACTAATTCAAAATAAGAATTATTATGTTAATAATAGTAAGACAAGAAAAATGTTTTTGGAAGAAATCTAGCAGTTGACCTAGCATTTCTTTGTTGTATAAAATCAAATTTGTCGGAGGCTTTGAATGAGAGCCAGATGCAGTGATGCATACCCGAAATCCCAGTGACTCAGAAGGCTGAGGCAGAAGAATGGCAAGTTCAAAGTCAACCTCAGCAATTTAGCAAAGCCCTAAGCAATTTAACGAGATCCTGTCTCAAAATCAAAAATAAAGGGGCTGGGGCTGTAGCTCAGTGGTAAAGTGCTTGCCTCACATGTGTGAGGCACTGGGTTTGATCCTCAGCACCACGTAAAAACTAAATAAAGTTACTGTGTGTCCATCTACAACTCAATAAATATTAAAAAATATATAATAATACGGACTGGGGTTGTGGCTCAGTGGTAAAGTGCTTGCCTAGCACATACAAAGTCCTGGGTTCAATCCTCATCACTACATAAAAATAAATAAATAAAATAAAGGTATTGTGTCCAACTACAAATAAAAAATTAATAATAATAATAGGGCTGGGATGTAGTGATAAATTGCTTTTGGGTTAAATCCCAATACCAAAAAAATAAATAAAAGAAGAAGAACTGAATAAAGAATAAAATTGTAAGCCAGTTTTGGATCTTTGAATGATACTGATTACTTATCTTTTCGTAAATGAGAGGGGTTTTTTGGCTTTTTGTTCTGTTTGTCCTTTATGTATTTTATATGTTATATGAAACAAATCTTGTATTAATCTAGTTACTCTAAACAAAAACAATATTATATCTGTTTCTGTTTCCTTCTATTATTCAAAATACAGTTTGGAGCTTTTTTTAGTCTGCTGTTTTGTTGTGTTCCATGTGGGATATATCTTTCCCCCATACCTATGATAATATTCAATTAGAGTTTATAATGCACCATAACTTTGCTTAACTTTTACCTCATTTCCATGGGAAGTAGACTATTTGGTCATTTGGGGAGTGATTTTTATACCATAAAACTTAAGATCTCAGGTTCTGGAACCAGACAGGCTGGGTTTGAATCCTTTTCCATCATGTCTTAACTTTTTTGTCCTTAAACAAATTGCACAACCTCTCTAAAGCCATTTTCTCATTTTTAAAAACAATAATATTAATAATAAACTGCAAGCTTTATGAGGATTAAAGGAAATGATGAATGGTGCCTGATAAATTCAATAATTGTTAGCTGCCAAGTGATAGTCATTATGGCAACATAAATCTTTCAGTACCACTTTGTCTTGTCTTTTCTTTCTTTCTTTCTTTCTTTCTTTCTTCAGTGCTAAGCATTGAACACAGGGCCTTGTATGTGCTAAGCAAACACTACCTCTGGCCCTTTTTTTCTAAAAATAAATTTATTAATCAAACACATGCTAAGCATATTTCATAGATTTTTACTAGGCAATTTTTGATTTTAAGATTTTCTTATAATTTTATCACTATAGGATGTTGGTATGTACCTCTTATCATTGCATTTAGAAAACTATTGTTAAGTATCAGGTTGCTTGTCACTCTGCAATCAGCTTCTCTCAACAAGGATTCTGTAATCTGAACCTATAATATGCTGAGACATTTATTGTGTATAATGAATTACTGTCTTTCTCATGCATCTAGCATGGTACTAGTTATATACCATCTTGCAGAGAATTGAGAAGTAATTTTGTTCTTGTTTTGTGATTCAAATGAACAAGGCTCATTTATAAAGATGAAAGGAGTTATAGAGATGGATGATGATGATGTTTGCACATCTGACTGTATTGAATACCACTGAACTAAACACTTATAACATTAAATTTACCACTCTATTTTTATGTATTTTACCATAATTTAATTATTTAATTTTGGTACTAGGGATTGAACCCAGAGGCCCTCTACCACTGAGCCACATCCCTAGTCATCTTTTTAAATTTTTTAACAGTCTCAGTAAGTTGCTCAGGGTCTCACTAACTGGCCTTGAGATTGTCATCCTCCTGCTTTAGTCTCCTGAATTACCGGGATTATAAATGGGTGCTACTGTGCCTGGCTTACCACAATTTTAAGAATTGAAAAATAAAAATAAAGCCTAGTTTGAAAAGGATACACATTCTAACAAGGGGGGCTAGGACCCTGAGACTACCTACACTCTTCAAGGTAGACAAAGAAACTTAAGAGCAATATTTAAAACAAGTAGTAGAGGCAGACAACCAGGGTGGTTTGGCAAGGAAGTAAAAGAGAAACTTGTTGCCCTACACAGACTGCTTTTTATGCAGTGGCATTAGGCAAGAGCAGCCAGGAGGCAATCTCAAGTAGGTAGGAGGGCCTCAACTATAGCTCTATGCCTGGCATTTTAGGACCAGATTTAACTTCACTTGATTTCCATGTATATGTCACAAATTGAATTTGAATTTATTTTGTTTCCCTCAACGCCCTGGTATTCTAAAGGAATAAAAAAAGTATAATTTCTCCAGGAAAGGAGCATCTAGAAGAAAATAGCAGTTGGATAAAGGGATATTGAAAATTTTAGAAGATAAAAAGTAAATAGAGAAATAATGATTCGCATAACAGAGACAGGGGCCTGTGATTTTAGAGCTTAAGGGGGCTACTCCAGAGAAGGGAGGCCATTCATCCACAGAACTCTGGAATGACCTAGACCAGTTGGTACTAAGTACTCTGGAAAGAAAAGAGAAGCAAAGTGAATAACTAAAGATAGGGATTCAGATTTAAGTCTCAGTATGGAGTGTTTGGGCCCTTTCCTGCGCCCTGGAATTCATCTTTGTATTATGCTATTAGAAAGGGATGCAGTTTTGCAATGCTCTATATATTGAGCTGAGTATCCTCTTTTTTTTTGGTACCAAGGATTGAACTCAGGGGCACTTGACCACTGAGCCACATTCCCAGCCCTATTTTGTATTTTATTTAGAGACAGGGTCTCACTGAGTTGCTTAGCACCTCTATTTTGCTGAAGCTGGCATTGAACTTGTGATCTTCCTGCCTCAGCCTCCTGAGCCGCTCTGATTATAGCCTCCCAAGCCACTGGGATTGCATGTGTGCACCACCGCACCTGGCGAGTATCCTATATTAAACAAGCCATTCCCCCTTAATTTGTGCTACCTTTAAAGTTCCTATGTGTACATAAATTCTATATATAGGTCAGTACTCATTCTTTTGTTTTGGTCCAATAATCCATTTGCCTGTTTTTGTATTAATAACACTGTAACCAAGTGATAAACCCTTTTCTTCTCCCTCACTTACCCTATCAATTGCCCTCTCCAACCAAACATAAAAACAGACCTGAAATTCCCTAAAATTTCCGAACTTTGTAAAGAAATTGAGCTAGAGAGATTCTCAATTTGGAAATACCTGTAGAGGAGTATTGGAATGAGCCACAGGATTGAAATTGGGAATTATGTGAAAGCCTACAAACTAGATGGTAAGATCACCTACTCCTTTCCCCTGCTCTAGTACTAGCCAGGCAAGTATAAGAAGGAATTGGAGCTCTGGAATGATGAACAGCCCAAAAGTATAGATACTTATAGGTACTGATGTTTTGGGTTTCCACAATGAAATTAGACTCATTGCACATTGAAAACTCCAGTTTGCTTCTGTTTGTTGTACAAGTAAGACTACAATCAGCAATCCTTCCTACACAGCAACATTTCCAGTTATTTATTGTTTACTTGAACTTATATATATGAAAACCTGTCCAAGGTCACTAGACATTTGAGGAAAGCTAACTAATTGAGACAGATCAGAATAAAAATAACAAATTAATAGCAGAGACAGAATGGAGAAGAGAATTTCCATGGAATTAAAATTGTCCATATAAAAAACAACATTTAATGGAATCAGTGAGACATATGTGGGATGATATAAAAGTAAAAACATGGCTCAGGGTATAGTACAGTAGAGCACTTGCCTACTGTACACAAAACCGTTGGTTTCATCCCCAGCACTGCAAAATAAATATTGAATATAAAAAACAAAAAAGCAAAAACAGGAGCTCTTGGAAATAGCAGAATGAAAAGTAAAATTAACTGTAGAAAGTAGCTAATAACAAAGATGGTCAAAAAGGGTGATTATGTAAGAAAACTAGAGTATTTATCTGGAAGATCTGACATCTTAGAAAATAGTAATTTTAGAATTTTACATACCAGAGAAGAACAAAGAAAAGATGATATCTAATAAGTAATGTAAGAATTATGGCCCAAACTTGAAGGAATTTCCATATGAAAAAGTTCCTTCCTTTTCAGAACACTAAGCCAAAAGAGATGATTCTAAAATTATAATAGGGGAAAAAATAGGTCTTATAATAGAGAAGTAGGAATCAGATGGTTTTAAACTTTATTGTAGCAGCTACTGAATACTACAATACACAGGTGTAGTGCCTTCAAAGAGCTGACGGAAAATTTTATATTTAGCTAAATCACCAATCAAGTGTAAGACTAAATGAGGACATTTTCAGTCATGCCTCAAAAAATCTATCTCCCCTGCTTCCATACTCAAGAAGCTACTGAGGATGTGTTCCACCAAAGAAAAGAGAGGTATGAGATCCAGAAAATTGGGGTCCAGCACAGGAGAAAAGCAAAGGGAAACCTTAGTATGAGCTGAGTAGTTGCTCTAGTGAATGTCCAATCCAGACTGGACTAGGAGGGTGAAAAGCTTCAGGAAGGAGGTGTCTGGGAGGAAATCTGAAACTCACATGTTTCAGCATTTAAGTAGTACTGAAAGAGATTTTATGGATCTTTTGCATTCATGAAGAATTAGCATTAAATTCATAGACAAGCAAATGGTTAAGAGAAAATATCTCTAAGTAATTTAAAATTGCATGTGAAAGAAAATATAATTCTAGTATACAGCTTTAGAGCAATAAGCATTATTTAATCATGAACACAGAATAGTACTTTAGTAAAACTTATAATATGGAGGTAATATCTGAAGAAAAAGCCAAGGAACTGGCAGTAGTTTCCTCTGGGGAGGAAGACTAAGAGTGGAAAAGATACTGTAGATTTTCTTAGAACTTTAACAACCCACAGGCATAAGTACTACTGACCTCAGAACAAAATAGCTCAGAATTATCAACATCTACATGAATATTTCAGTGCTGGACATTTTACAGAGGGGAATGTTTTTGGAGTGTTTAGTGCTATTAGACTTAAAATTATAAGAACATACAACTTTGATTCAAAATTAATTTTTTAATGAAGAAAAAAGATGTGACATCAGTGCCTGTTATAGACCCAAAGAGACCTAGAGAAGGCCACAGTCCTAAAGGACTGAAGAATTTATCATATCTATGAGGATTGTGAACAAATGAGATCATGTTTATAATCTTAGTTTACACAGGGCTTTTTCTTTTTTGGTCATTCTGACAGTATTGTGGGGCTCAGATTAATAACTAGTCTTTTCCCAGGCTTGTAAGGGATGAAGTTGTGACTCGAACCAGTTCTGGCTCCAATCTGAGGCCAGGAATTTGGGCATGGTTAGAGAAAGGGGCATTTGAGGACAGATCCCAGGGTTGAGGGTGGGAGGCTGTGGTCTCATCATAGAAATGAAATAGCAGACTACAGTAATGCTTGAGCATCAACTTGGAAGACTCTCAGTCCTGAGCCCAATTTTTCACTGAACTGTTTGGGGTGTGGGGTAATGTAGGCCTTGGAAGGAGGTTTAAAAAACTACGAGGATAGGGACCTGTGTGGGTCACCACTCAGGCTGCTCCAGAACAGTTAGAGGACAGAGGGTTTTGTTCTGTTCTTTGCCATTCTCTTTTCTATTTGTGTATGAGTCTTGACTTGTTTGGCTGCCCAGCATTAGAACCTTCTTCCTAGTTTTGGAGAATTCTTCATGGTATAGGTCTTAATAGATGGCAGTGCCCACTTACCAGTGGAAAAGTCTAAAGGGCCAAAGATTCGCTTCCGAGTTCTCTGTGAATAGGGCTTCAACTTGTCAACTAGGCTTTTTGAAATAAGACCTAATGACAAAAGCAGACTATTATAGAGAATTATTTCTGGAAACAGAATGGGGCATCAACATCTAGTGGAAAAAGAAGTCACATCACAACTGTGATGTGGTGCTGACATTCACTGTCCAGACAGAGCAGGAGTCCTTGTGGCCAGGGTGCCATGGTGACTCATTGGCCACGCTTGGCTTCCATTTGGTAGAGTCGCTACCTGGCAGCCCTCTGTCTATCTTATTTACTGGACCTCGTTTCCAGCTTTCCCAGCAGTGTTGTGAAGGTTTTTGTGGGTGTTTTTTTGTTGTTGTTGTTTGTGTTTGTGTGTGTGCGCGCGCTACACAAAAAACCTGATTGATAGCAATGCTTGTGTATAAAATTCCAAAATAAATGACTAGATTGGAAGAACCTTGCAAGAACTAGGTGATTGATCACTTTGACAATGATCTTAGCACACTCTGGTAAATAGTTTTGACATTGTGAAAACAATGAGGGTAACCTCTTATTGTTTTACAGGTTTTTGAGAAAAATGCCACACTGTAGAAGAACTGTAGATTTTCTTAGAACTTTAACAACCCACAGCTATTTTGACCTCAGAACAAAATAGCTCAGAATTATCAACATCTACATGAATATTTCAGTGCTGGACATTTTACAGAAGACTTTAAACTTTTTCTGGATCAAAAATGCATTTTTAATCTTTGGAAGATGAAATTTATTTATAACTTTCATTCCAAAATGGACTGCATATTGCATTTGCCATATTTTTAATCATGAACATGATTACATTTTATTGAATTAAAAATCTGATAGAGAAGCAACTGAACAAAATGACCTAATTTTTCTTTAGCAATTTGGTCAGCTTCCAAGAGTGTGTGACTTGAAATAAATGCAAACTAGCAGACTCACTGTCCCCACTCACCCACCCATTACTCCCTCTTCTCCTCCTCTCCATTGTTCCAGTGTTGACATTCTTTCTTCTGTCGCAGTTCAGTGGATTTGGCAGTTCATTTTACTTCTGTTTGTAATTGTTTCCTCTTCAGCAGATTAGTCTGAATGTACTTCCTAGAGAATAATGGAACTAAGCTAAAGACCATTATCAACAGATCAGAGTAGTAAATGCAGGTTTCAGTTAAACATACAACAGATTAAAATTAATTTTAGCTTCTTGAATGACAGTTAAGGGACTCTTGAGATTATATGTCTGTAATCATAATGAAATAACATTTTAAAACAATTTTTACTTAAAGTCTGAGTTTTAAAGCATAGTACTTGATTGCATATTTTATTTTCAAACAAACCATTTTTTATAAACTCTCCCTCTGGGCTTTGTTTTTCTTTTTCCTGGAGTAGATTTGCCTTTTATTGCTAAATCTTCAAATTCTATCTAAACCTTTTAAGACCAAACTGACATGCTACTCACATACCTTGTTTCATCCTAGTCATTCCAAGTTAAAGATATTTTCTACTTCCTGACAACTTTCAAAACATTTATTTTTCTTAGTTTTTTTCAATTTTCTAACTTGTTTGCAATTACATATGCACCTGCTTCATTTACTCTGTCACCTAGTGTATTATTATGTTGTGTAATAAGAGGTGGTCATCTTTGAATCACCCAAGATCTTACACAGAGCTTTGCTCTTGCTAGACTCATATTTTGAATTATTTTTAATACCTATGAAAACTGAGTAACCTTTTTACAAAAAAGAAAAAGGGGGACTTGAGAGTGTGGTTCAGTGGTGAAATGCTTTCCTAGTATGCACAAGACCTGGATTCGATACCCATTACTGCAAAAAAGGCAAGGGGTGTGTGTGTGTGTGTAATGCTTAGCCCTAGAAGTTGCAAACAAAATGAAAACACTTTAATTCCAATCCAGGAGATAAATTTGAAGTATTTAGAGACATAAATTTAAATATAGTCTAAACAATGTGTAACTGCCTTCTAACTCAGAATTTTAAGTTACATTTCAAATAAATTGTCTCATCAGCTGTTTACTTGTTGTCCATTGATATGAAGTAGAATATCAGTTGAATTTTAAATGACACTGTTTTGTTTGTTTTTGTTTGGATTGAATCCAGGACTTTGTGCATTCGAGGCAAGCATGCTACCAACAGAACTATATATTCAGCCCACCACTGTTCATATTTGGAAGCCAAAATAGTTTAATCCAAGGTCAACCATAACCTTTTGCACTAGTTTACAATTTAGATTAAATAATTAATCATGCATCTAAAATTCAGAAATAAAAATGTATTTACAGTGATTATGACAATGATTTATATTCACAATAAGTAATATAACTCAGCATTAAAGTAACTTGGAAATTCTTACTCTAAATTACCTTTACTTGTTTAATTTATTATGGGAAAATAAAATTGTAAGAAGTCGCCATATTTGTTTCCTGTCTGTTGAAATGGAATGTTCATTCACCCCTGTTTATAAACATAAAAGACAATACATATAAATGAATAGTATGGCTTTTTATATGACTTTTTAAATGTAAATATATATCTTGTGTCTTATAGCCATAACAAGAAGTGTTTCTAAAATACGTACAGTTCACTTGTAGTAGAATCTGTTGTGTTTCTTCTTTTTTTGGTACCGGCAATTGAACTCGGGGGCACTCAACCACTGAGCCAGATCCCCAGCCTTATTTCGTATTTTATTTAGAAACAGGGTCTCATTGAGTTGTTTAGGGCCTTGCTTTCGCTGAGGCTGGCTTTGAACTCAAGATCCTGCTGCCTCAGCCTCCCAAGCTGCTGGGATTACAGGTGTGCACCACTACGCCTGTCTGTGTTTCTTATTTTTATTTAAAATTATGTGGAATTTAGTTAGAAGTCTTTTCTCAACAGTAAGCAAACCTTTTCTCTGTGATAATGAAATTCCAAGGATTGCTAGAAGGAAAAGGTAAAATAGCAGGATATTTGTAAATTTTTGATACCACATTTTATTTTGAATTATTGAGAAACTGTCCTTCATTATACCTTGCACATATCACTATTTATATACAACTTTCAAATTAAAGTACAATAGTTAATTAACATTCGTTGATCAGAACTTTTGATGTCAGTCTTAAAATAAGACATAGAGTAAGCTAATTTTTATATTTAAGGTTACCATTTATTGAACATCATTGTTATGTTATTCCAGGGAAAAGAGAAATGAAACAAATAGGTTTTGAATTCCACGATGCGCTTAGCTTCATGACAGGCACTTCACATATGTTGTTTCATTTCCTCTTCATTGCCCTGAGAAGCTTCGAAAATGGGTTTTCCATTTGTACAGGTTCTGAGATAAGTAATAGTGCTCCTATACAATGGTATTTTGTAAACATGAGCTTTGAAATTAGACCTGTGTTCCAATCCTGGCTCTGCCACACACTAACCATATAAACTCCATCTGGGCTTCTCAATTTGAGCTAGTTTCCTTATAGATGTGCAGGCACTGACCACTGTTGTGGCTCACAGTGGGAGGGCCTTCTCACATGTGTTTTAAAAACCGACTTGTGTTAACAGTTCTGTAGGAGTTTTCTGTTGGTAAGAATTGTTTTCTTTGCACATATTTGACAGCACAGTTCCAAGTATAAAAGTTCACCAGATTCAGACTCTTTAAACATTCAGCCTCAGCACTTACATGATTACAGTTTTGAGGAACATTCCAATTTTGATGGTAGAACATCATAAAAAATGGTCCATAGAGCATTCCCAAGGTAGCATAGGTATTATTTGGTATAAACTCCCACTCTACTTTAATTTGATGCACTTAGAGCCCCCTTTTCTCTTAGAGAAATGGCCTAATTGTCACCTTTCTTAAAGTCAGTTTATTTTGTAACTTGCCATTGTCAAATTTTGACTACTCTTGGGCCTTCCAGTGCAGAGGACAAAAACTAATGGGAGTCCAAGATGCGAGTTATTTGATATTAAATAAAATAAGATTGGGGGAGTATACAAGTGACTAAGGTAGGAAAATGACAGAAGGAGGGGCTGGAGTTGTGGCTCAGTGGCAGAGCACTTGCCTAGCATGTGTGAGGCCCTGGGTTCTATCCTCAGCACCACATAAAAATAAAATAAAGCTGTTGTATCCAACTACAACTAAAAAAATAAATATTTGATTAAGAAAAAAGACAATGACCGAAGAAGGAAGACACTCTGGGCTTTTCAAACCCAGAATTATGGTACAAAGTTGAAGTTTCAGCTTTAAAATCAAATACTACTGTTATCCCCTAAAATATCCAAAGGATTCTGACCAAATGTAAGCAGTCTGTCTACTTTTGGCTTTGGAAGTGCTTAGAAGAAAGTATTTAAGACTCTAGATGAGTAATGATCTTACTTAACTATTACTGTGGGAAAGGCACTGGGCTGAACTTTTTTTTTTTTTTAAGGGATACTTTATTTGGTCTTTATAGTGACCTATGTGGTAGCTGCTGTCTTTTTCCCATTTTAGAGATGAGGAAGCAATTGCCTACATTGTTTTCTCCCCAAGGCTACTTCTGTTGACCAAAAGATGGACTTGAAAGCAAAAATAACTAAATACCTACATACACTCAGGATCTGAGCTTCCACATACAACTTGTACTTTCAAAGGCTTTAGATTATATGTTTTATAACATTTATAAATAAACCATCCTCAACAGCTCTATGCCAAAACTTTAAATTTGAGTTAATTCATTTCAACAGCAATTTGTGCTTATTGTTGAAAAAGTGGGAAATGATACAGAAATATGATATAAAGTGTATTTTCACCCATGACCACTGCTTTCCCCGGACTCTTATCAATGATGCTCTGAACAGGGGTTTCCTTACAGATCTTTGTGTGTGCATGTGAGTATGTGTTTCACATACATATCTTGTTTTGTTTTATAAATAGCATCACAATATACATATCACTCTGTCTTCTCTTGTTCATATTTAATAAATCTTGGAGAAATTTTTTGTTGGTACATTTAGAGCTTTTGGTTTTGTTTTGGTACCGTGGATTGAACCCAGGGATGCTTTGCCAGTGAGCTACATCTCCAGCTCTTTTTATTTTTTATTTTGAAGCAGGATCTCACTAAGTTGCTTAGGGCCTTACTGAGTTGATGAAGTTGTCTTTAAATTTTTCAGTCCTCCTACCTCAACCTCCCAAGTTACAGAGATTACAGGTGTGTGTTATGATGCCCAGCTAGAGTTTATTTTTAATAACTATATTAAGTTACTTTCTAAAAATTATAAGCAATAGATGCACTAGTGGCTGAATTCAGGCAGTAATTCAGAATATTTCACAACTCCTAATCTCCCTTCCAGTGATAAGTACTGTTAACAATACTACCTTTTTATCATTGTCTCCAAAGGACTGCTAAAACATTGAGTGATTATAAACTGTCCAGAAACTACATGATTTTACATTTTTTCATATATTTCAGGGTAATGACTATCAGGCTCTATTATTAAAATGATGTGGGTTAGTATGTCCCCCAAAAGGGGGATGACTTTGTTTTATTAAAAGACTTCAAGTTCTGTTGTAGTTCTTTGCACTAAAACATTTTTATTCACCTCATACTTAGTATTGATGTATATTCAAAACTGCTGATAAATGTTTTACATCTCATAGTATTTAAAGGTAAATGTCCACATATCTGAAAGTGGCAGTAGAAAACCAAAAATATGTAATGACAAATCCTATCTTTTTTTGTGGGGGAGGGGTATTGGGGATTGAACTCAAGAGCACTTAACCACTGAACCACTTCCCCAGCCCTTTTTTTGTATTTTATTTTGAGACAAGGTCTCACTGAGTTGCTTAGGGCCTCAGCCTCCCAAGCTGCTGGGATTATAGGCATGCACCACTGGGCCCAGAAAATCCCATCATTATTTATAACTACAATGCACCAATAAAAAATCTAGAGAGGGGAAAAAAATACATTTATACATTTAGATGTTTTTGTTTGTCTTTGTTTCTAAACATATTTCTCTTCAGCCTCAATAGAATTAGACCTTTACTAAGGTGATTTTTTTTAAGAATTTAACCTTTATTTTATTTGTTTTTTATGTAGTACTGAGGATTAAACCCAGTTCCTCACCTATACTAGGCAAGCACTCTACCATTGAGCTACAACCCCATCCCATGATTTGGTTTTAATATTAGGTTTCTACTCAGTTTTCCTTACTAATTGAAGTTTACTTCAAAGAGCAATGCTGGATTTTGAAACTGTGATCCATTACAATGATTCTAGAAAGTACATGAACATCACATTGTTTTTCTAAATCTATTAACATTTGAGCTTATATTTACTTATGAAAGGTTTAGAAATTTTCTTAAGCTAAACTATATGACTAAATAGTTTTGTTATCCTTATACCTCATTTTTTAGTAAATTGATAGTTTTTTTTTTAATATAAACCTGAAGTCTTCACTGGTGTGAATACTACTTCTAAGCTATTTTTTAGATAAATTGGATTAAATAGAAGTAAATGAGACTGGGAGTATAGTTAGAGGTGGAGCGCTTGCCTAGGATACAAAAGGCCCTGGGTTCCATCCCCAGCACTGCCAAAAAGTGGGGGGTGGCTTGAGGGGGGAGATGGATGCAATGTTGTAAGTCTTATTATCATAACAGGCCTATAAACTTGAAGGAGGAGCTGCTGCGTGAATTTTCAAGCAAATAAAGGTAAAAATGGGACATTATTGAAGCAGAAAATATATAGCCTGTCAATTCATACAGGCCCCTTGGCATAGAATTACATTATGAATTCCTGTATTTTATTTATTCTGCAAATACTTACTTAGCTCTTACTCTGTGCTAGGCCCTGAGGTTAAAGTAATGGGTACAATAGTCCAGTGGCAAGTACCAGCCAGCAATTATAGCAGAAGTGCCCTAATGAAACAGGGTCCTAGATTCTAGGAGAGCACCTAGGAGGAAGAGGAGTCCCAGACCCAGTGTGGAGAGTAGGGATTGGAGAACATCTTCAGAAACTTCCCAGAGAAGCAAGACCTGGAGAAAGAATAGGATTTAAGTAAAGATTGGAGGTAAAAGGAGCAAGTCAGATAGAAGGAACAGCAGCTTTGAAGGCCTGAAGAGGAAGGCACTTTGGGCTGGGAAAAAAAAAAATGAGGTTGCAAAGATAAGAGGGGTGGGTAAGAAGTGAGGCTACAGAGGCAAACAGGGCTAGATGATGTAAAGAACTTTGTATGCCATGGTGAAATCATAAAGCCTCATCCTCCTGTGCATGGTGGTGCATGCCTATAATCTTAGCTATTCAGGAAGCTGAGGCAGAGGATTGAAAGTTTGAGGCCAACCTAGTCAACTTTGTGAGACCCTGTCTCAAAATAAAATTTTAAAAGAACTAGAAATGTAGCTCAGTGGTAGGGCACTTATCTAGGTTGTGCAGGCCCCATGTTCAATCCTATCTACAGCAAGCTGTGTAGCCTGATCACATTTGCATTTTCCGAAAGCTCCTTTGGCTACCAGATTTAGAAACTGTAAGAAAGGTTCTAGAAATCATGGGTTTAAAAAAGTGCATACTGGGCTGGGGTTGTGGCTCAGAGGTAGACGACTCGCCTAGCATGCGAGAGCACTAGGTTCGATCCTCAGAACCACATAAAAATAAACTAAAGATATTGTGTTCACCTCTAACTAAAAAATAATTATTTTTTCCAAAAAAAGGTGCATAAAATTCTGTAAGCAGATTAAAATCTATAAATTATAGGTCACTTTTTTTTTCCTTTTTGTTTGGAATCACACTCAAGGCCTTGCTTGTGCCAGACAGGTGCTCTACTCCTGAGCTACATATCCAGCCCCTACTAATTCTTTAAAAAGTTTTATACTGTACTCACTTATTCAGAAGAATTTATTGAGTATCTGTTCCTTGCCAGCCACTGTGTTAAGCACCTTATTCACATTATTCTCTTTAGATATTATCCCACACATGAGCAAAGGTTCTATAACCTAGTTTACAGCTAGGAAGCGTGTGAGTGCCCCTTCTGACTCTGGAGCTGCTCTCATTTGGGATTAGAGGGAATATGTCTCCAAGAGACACATTGTTGTAAAGTCAGCACATGATCATGTAAGAGGTGACCATCCAGGAGACGTCCAGAGTTTTCTGAAAAGCATAATCATGGTTCTACCCCACTAAGTTCTAGACTTTTTCCTTTTTTATTATAATAGAAATAAGGCTACTAATTTACTATTTGTCACTAGTGGAATGGTGGTTTAAGAATAGTGATCATGCTACAGTTATCTTTATACCCAAGGTAAACCACCATCTTCTGTTTTTAGATATAGAGGTATAAATCTACTGAGCTTTTCACATACTGAGTAGAGTTTGTTGTGTGGTTTGTTTTTTTTTTTTTTTAATTTAGTACTTTGACAAATCTGCAACAGAGAAGTATATAATACATTTAGGTTGTTAATATTTCAGTTCCCTTTATGGATCTTTAATTAGCTCTGCTCTTAGGAGACTATACTTCCTTCCTACCCTCATATTCCCCACAAATCCTGTGCTTGCTCTTGAATCAGAACATACCAGTATTGTTGGTGTCCTTAAATGCCATTTATATAATATTTCCCTTAAATTAAACATTACTAAGTGTCATGTATGTGTTATAAAATGCTCAAAATAACCAAATGAGATATACAGTATCATCCACATTTTTCAGGTGAGCAAATAAGTGAAAACGTCACACATCTCACAGATAAAAGAAAATTAGAATTGAGTCTCTGGTCAATTCTAGTGTAGTGGTGTATCCTGTATTTAAGAATGTGTTCATTTTCATGGTATTCAGGCCTCCTATAGGTCCTAGTTTCACATTTCTCTCTTACACACACACACACACACACACACACACCTTAACCCCACCCAATCCCACCCTCTCCTCCCCCATATAGCAAAGGATTTTTACATGCTGTCTACATACAGAGAACTTATACCCTCATGAGTATATTTCCCATTCATATGCTGCTCTCCCCCAGAGCACTCACTATAAACACTTAAAATGTCCTGCTTTATAAACACTAATTTATAAAGTAAAATAGAGGAATATCATTAAGTATCTTAAGGTTTGTTAAACTTGAGAGAGAGAGACTGTGTGTGTGTGTGTATTTATTTCAGTTTCATGGTCTAAAGAGAAATTTTGACTCCTGTCAGTTTCCTGTGTGTTTTACCCTCTTCCTTTTCTGAGTTACCAAAGTTTTTCTCCAGAAGTTTTTAGCATCTTTTCCATCTTTGTCTGCTTTTCTCTTTTATAGGGCTTGGCAACATATATTCATATTCTCATTCTCTCTCTCCATTTACAGGAATAAAGAATATAGCACTCAGTGCACATACTTTATCTCTCACTCACACACACACACACACACACACACACACACACATATTCTCTCTCTCTCTCTCACATACACACACACACACCACACACACACACCATGAATGTCAGTGATTGCCTCCTTCCTGTAAAAGGAAGTAATGTTCTCAGGATACAGAACCTTCTCATTTCCTTTCCAACATTTGCTTAGGTTTTGTGGTCAGTGGTTGATTTTACTGAGTGGTAAGGGAAGGAATTCTTGGCAACTTCCATAGCATGGTGGTGGTGGTTAATTTTTGGAATAGGTAATATCTTCACATAGGACAGAATTCAAAAAAAGTGAAGGTTCTTGCCCTTTCAACCTTGTCTCCCAGCCACTCAGTTCCTCTCCAGAGACAGTGTCACCAGTTTCTTGTATATCCTTCCAGATGGGCAATCCAGAGAGTGTACATGACTTTTAAACCACATTAAAGGGGAACACAAAATATTTAGGTGATAGCTACAATATGACCAATTACTTCTGGCATTTAGCTAATGCAAGAAAATCTCATAAGATTATAATAGGACCAGACCTTGGAAGATGCACTTCCGTGTGGCTAAATGTTACATTTTAAGACAATACCTTGATCATGCCTCTCTACCCAAAGGAACAATAAAATTCTGAGTATCAGCTACATGAATATGAGCAATAAAACCCAGAAACACCCAATTTAACTCCCCACCATACTCTGGTGCATACCTAAAATGTTGATAGCATTCTTACCTCTCTTTAGAGAAGTAAAATTAGATTTTCTGCCGGGAGGAACAAAAATAGATGAAAGACACGGGGGTGCATAAGGGCAGAGTAAGTGATAAGGCTTGTCTGACTACATATTGCTTAGGTGGTCATAAATGTACTGGAACAGGTAGACAAAGAGGAGGCCTTCAGTGGTCCCTGTATTCTGGTATTCAGACTGTTATGTAATCCCCTCTTCCTTTGTGTAATCTGTGATCAAAGGCAAAACTATGGGATGTCATTCCTATGATTAGATTATCTTATAGAACTCCATTTCAAAGCCAACTGGTGCTAGAAACTCTTCCCCAGCTTGGTGAGATCTCATCTTTGGTGAGATGGCCTGATGAGAAAACCACAAGGTGAGAATTGGGCTTAGTCTACCGCCATAGAGAAAGAAGTCTGCCAACAGTCTGAATTAATTTGGAGAGGCGTATTCTTTTTATTTATATATATATATATATATATATATATTTTAGTTGTTGATAGACCTTTATTTTATTCATTTATTTATGTGTGGTGCTGAGAATCAAAACCAGTACACATGTGAGGCAGGCACTGTACCACTGAGCCACAACCCCAGCCCCTGGAGGCATATTCTTTCCCAGTTGAACCTTTAGGTGACATGCAAGCCCAGTTGACACCTTCATTGCACATGAACAAAACCCTGACTGAAGAGCCAGCCAGCTCGCCATGCCCAGGCTCCTCCACACAGAAAGTACAGGATGATAAAAGTGTTGTTTTAACCAACTAAGTTTATGGTAATTTTTACTCTGATAATATTTTCATAGGTCAGATCAGTTAATACCAACAATTTTTTATGGATTAATTAAATAATTAGAAGAAAACAAATTTATTGAAGCCTTATACAAGTACTTTGATTTTGAAGAGAAAATTTTATTTTTTTTCTAGGAGAGTGGGTTCAAACTATTTGAAACACTCCAGGTGACAGATTTATAATGCTGGTGGAATGTAGACAACTAGAATTGGTGAAGAGAACTAGATTTTATTATAAATATTCTTCTTCTTCAACAAACCATTTTTTGAAACTACATATTCTGTGGTCACTTCAACAGCTGCTACATGCACGCACGCACGCACGCACATTCTTCCTTTGCCTGGAATACCATTTCTTTAAAAAGGTATATTTTCAATGTCGCCTCAACTGAAAAGCTATAGTCACCACAGCCTTTTGTCTATCCCTCTTATGGCTTATTGCATAGAAGTGAAATCACCTACTTTCTTTTCTGCTTCTCCTAGAATTTTGTTAGCTTCCTGAGATCAAGAACGTATTGTTTATATCATTGTATCTCCTGCATCTAATATAGAATCTGGCACATGGCTCAATAAATAAAGATTTTTAAATAAAAGCCTAGAAAATTAACCTGAAATCTAAGGCTGAATGGACCATTAGTTTGAGCAAAACCCAGAGTAGCAATTTAAAATGACTTTCTTATTGACCATTGTCAGGAGTAGGGATTTTTTTATCTGTTCTATGTTAGTCTAGCTTTCCTTCTGAAAGTGAAATCTACTATAAGGATATCCATGTAGATAGTTAATTTGGGGAAATTCTTCCAGAGAATGGGAATGGAAGCCTGGGAAGAATGAAATTAAATGAGAGAACCAATTCAGTTTTGCTCTGGACAGCTAAGCTTTATCCTACTGGAACCCTCTGAGGAGCCACATGGAATGTGCTTCAGAGTTGTCCACATGAGGAAAGAGAAAGCAATTATTCCCCCAGCCTCTGTGGAAAGTATTTCTCATGGGGTGTTTACTTCCTTGCATCTCATGGTTTTCATATGTATGGGTGCCTGGTCAATTCCTAGGAGTGCCTATTCAAGGTATCAGAATTTCCACACCTGAATATAGAAGGTACAAAAGTACAGTTGAGGCAAGGTCTTTTAGGATACTGGCTTTGAAACTGGCTTGCTGGGGGTGAAAAGCAAAGAAGACATGAGGTAAGCATGAAATGCCCAATTCAGTCTGCTTGAGTCACTCAAATTAGTTTGTGTACTCCATTAATCCAACTCATGTGGCCAGTCACAGCACAGCCAGAGACTTGCTTCAGGGAAATGGTGGAATTAGCCACATTCCAGCTGCCACATCTAGCTGGAAGCTCTAACTCATGATCTTACAACTATCAGAATTCAGTCAGGGAAGCTGAGCAACTACAACATATGGAATAAGGATTTGAAGCTTATACAGTTGCCAGAGAAGCTGAGGAAGTAAAGATCTGAAAGAGAGAGTGGCAAAGGACCAGATGAGTTGTGTACATGAGAAGCCACACATGTCCAGCCTCCAAATTGGGACTGGGGAAAGGGACTCATGGAGATTGGCTGTTGTGTCAGTGGTACTGTATCCATGCATCTAGTGGTAGGCATGAGGATGGACTTGGGTGGGACATCTGGATGCAGAGAAGAAGCAAGGACAAGTCAGAATCCACTAGCACTTCTGTGACATGTGTCACCTAGCTATAGTAACTTTTAGAAGGTAATAGCTGCTTTCTTCTGCCTTCTAAGTCTCACATATTTCTTTTTATATTTTTTATTTTTATTTTTTATATTTTATATTTTTTTTTATCCCTACAGGGATAGAGATTGTGAGAAATTATTCAGGTTAAAGCCAGTTGGAATACTATAAATCAGACCGATCACCCTATTGTCCCCCTTTACCAATACTTCAGCACATCTGGGTAGTCTACCAGGTAAGGTAACCCAGACTTTTATCCCAGGGGTGTCCGAGCTCTTGTTTCGTCATTAACACTTGCTACAGTTGCTGAGTCTTTGTTATCAGGCAAAGAAGCACCAGAAGATGCCCCTGAGTATCCCTTGGGTTCTGAATGAGCTCCTCCTTACTGCAGCACACTCAAGATGCACAACCACAAGTTGGCCTGCCAGTACATAGATGGTCTTAGAATTCTTTGGGTGTCTGTACTCCTACCTTCTAACACAGGAACTGTATTTTCTTAATCAGACAGCTATAACCTCATCTGGATTGTTGGTTTGGATGTAGTGGGAAGAAGCAGGAGCAGATCTTGAAGAAGACAGGCATGATCTTTTCAGGGTCTCCAGACAAAAATATGCTGTTGTTTTCCAGCTGAGAGTTGGAGGAAGCTCCTTTTCCTAGACGAGAAAATTTGGGCAAATCTTGGGATGTAACAACATTTCAGGTCACTGAATCAAACATCCCCATTTTGGGTTTCTGTGTCCAAATATTCCTATCAGGACCCAGGTTTTATCATAGAAGACTTAGTGAGGTTTTCATTCAAATCTTCTTTGTAGCTCTGATGTCCTGCAAATTAAATCTTGAGCATGAGTTATGGCAGTGCACCATGCAGTGGCAGGAATAGGGTTTCTTTAAATACTGACCTCAAGGTCTCCAGACCTTGAAGAATGCCTAGGTTTAAGAGTTGGTTAAGCTGAGCCAATAGTTTTCTTTTTGCATGGCTTCTAAAGCTGTTCACTAAAGCCAGCCAGTATCAGGGACTTAATGTGCACTAATGTTCTCATTCCATTTAAGTGCCACCATTTCTGCTGAGCTAATTCATCTTTCATTTACACATCATGTTAATCTGCTCCTAGTGAAAATCCTCCTGTTGTCCTGTTGCTGCCAGCAGAGGTTATCACCTCCCTCACTTATAAGTGTATGGGTTGGGGGGATCTAATTCTGGAATATCATTCAAGAATCTTGTTTTCTAGGGCCATTTCTAGCTATCTTTGGGTATTTCCTCTCATTCCTAATGATCCCTGATGCAAGCACAGCCCTACATCTGAGCTTGAATGCAGATCATGTATTTGGTAGGTTCTCC